CTGGCCTCTTTCAGCAGGGTAATGGACACTGACACACTGCAAAATAGTTCAGGAATGGGTTGAGAAACATGACAAAGAGTAAAAGTTGTTGACTTAGACTCCAAATCCCCCAAATTTCAGCCCAATAAAACATCTATAGGATGTGCAGGAAAAACAAGTCTGATCCATGAAGCCCCACCTCGCTACCTAAAAGGACCTGATAAAGGATCTACTGCTAATGCATTGGTGGCTGATACAACACTTTGTTCAGAGGTCTGGAAGAGTCCCCCCTTAACTATGTGGCTAGTAAGCCTACGGGGAGCAAAGCTGTTGTGGCAGCAGAAGATGGACCTATACAATATTAGTTTTAATGCTGTGTCTGACTGGTGTATAATGTGTTTTGTGATTTATTTAATTCTTTCTTTCTTTTTTAAGCAGGGGTGGCAGGCTACTTAGTTTTTACCTATCAACAGCTATAAATCAGTTAATGGTGTTGCACATGGTTACAGTCCTATTTAGTGATTACTGTTTTTTTCTATGACACAAATTCACTAAAACAATGAACTAAAGATGTCTCGATATGCAGCTTCATGCTCAAAGTTTCATGAAGCATTTAGCATTACTGCTAGGCCACATATGAAGCAGGACACAGTGCCTTCATTAATTAATGCCTATGAAGTATGATTACAAAAAATAAATAAATATAATTACTGACCCTTTTTACATATTTTTACTCACAAAATATTATTTACATGGCTAGGTAGTCATCATGTAAATGGTGCCGATTTGCTTTTTCAAAACAAACATGGGATACTGCTGCACTTTATATGTTAGCTTTATTTTCTAACCCTACTTTGAATGCTAGGTGATACTGTAGGGTCAGGGTAAGAGAAAACAATACAGTGTCAGTTATGGAGATAATTTAGACAAACTACCGGAAGTTGGAAGCTAGTTATGTGTAACATTAACAGTTGCAGCCCTGCGACTATCTAATTATCTTAAGCGCTTTAATCTTACATTCTACTTGTTTTTAACTTAAATACTTCAGTGTTGGCTAAGGTGTACCATTTTTCTGGCTTTTGCAGACATTTAATGGTTAACAATGATTTAGTAGGTCGGTGGTTTTCACACTCCAGTAACGGGCATACTGTCATAGCTGACTTTTAGCATCCTTTTCCCTGACTTAAAGCCCAACTCTTAACATTTCCATAGTCTCTTTAACAATAGGACAACGTACTTGTGTTTTGAGGACATCATTCTGGCATCTTAATGACTGAAAACCTTCTCCGTCCACTTTTTTCATTCCTTTCCGAGCAAAAAAACTACAGGCGACAGCCGGAAGTGACGATTCTCCTGAAACAAGACTTATTCTTTACAAGAAACAAGTACACAAAAAACAAGTTACTTTTTAGGTTTGTCTTCCACTTGCTGAACCTTTAAAAAAATTCACTTTGAATCATCAGGGCAAAAATGTACAACAAATTATAATTTAACTATAAACAAACTTATTAGCCAAATCGCTTCAGCTAACAAGAATATGAACAACTTACCACAGTTTCATGAAACGTTTTATATGCATCTATTGCACTGGACACCACTTTAAGTTTCCATGTCAAACAACGTCTGTGTTTCATAAATAGATGGCTATTTTGGGTAGGTTTTTAACCTTAAAACTAAAAGTTATGTTAAAAATTACTTATTTTTAACTTGTGTTATTCAATTGGCCATAAGGGTCTCATGGCACAAGCTTTATTCAGAGCCTTTTGCAATTCACTGAAACATCATAACCCCTGACATTGTTACAATAAAAAGTCCAATAAAGCTTTTCCTGTTCCCATCAAAGGGTACTGCAGCTGTAAGCCTTCTAAAGTTTCACCCTCCTTTTCAGCTAACAACACCCATCCCTCAGGAATACTGTGACAATGGAGCTGCAAAGACAAAGTGCTCGTCACCCATGTAAAGTCTGTATGTGTCTGTCTGGAAAAGACATTGAAACAAACAGGTTGAAGGGCCAACCGGAGGCTCTTTCTCTCTCAAAATGCCTTCCAGACCTAGTGGTGTCTCTGACAGGCTCTCTCCTGGTGAGCTAGCCTCCATGATGAACGACCACCTTTCCACTCTTTATCGCCCCACTAAATCATGGGCTTACCATGTTTTTATGACCAATTTTTGCTGCTTTGTTTTACTTTCCTCTAGTTTTGAATGAAACTCCAAAGGCTGAGGGCTTATTATTGAATTGGTATTCATGTTGAGATTGGAGATCTAGCTTTATTAATCAAATTCACTGAGACAAATGTGTCAGACCTTGTTTGGACCCGAGTAATGCTCCACGGAGAGATGCTCTTATCTAAAGAGCATCTATTTGTAGAATATTTTATGTTTTTATTAAAGGTTTCCCTGCGTGGTGTTGTACAGCACTTCTTTATTTTATTTTTGCTGTAATTCTGGAAATGTATAAATTATTGAAATGAATTAGGTTCGAACTTGGAGTTGGTAGTAGCCCAGAGATGAGATGGGCCAGGGTCAGGACATAGAGCCTGAAAAAAGGCTGGACAATTGAGATTGCTCTGAGTTTATGCCTGTCCAAGTCCTTATAGACTTGCTTCTGTCTTTAAATCTGTTTTCTGTTATGAAACCCCAAAACACATTGCAAGCTTTGATATATTTATTTAATTTTGCAAAACATAAAGCTGTATAAAAATCTAATGTTATTTTAGATTGTTGTGTCAATATAATAGAAATAGTAATCCTTAACAAGGTCTTAGCCTTCCTGTATCTACTTCATATTAAAGTTTTATAGTTAGAGCTTTCTGCAAGTTTTCTGCCAGGGTTTTCTGTAGTGTTTATATCAATAAGACCTGAGACACCATAGAATAAATTTAGGTTGTCTTCTGTAACTGAAGCATCAAAACTGTGATAATGATTGAAGTGTATAAATTGTCTTTCTTTTCTACTTTGTATAACTGGTCAAATAGTCTTATATTGTAATGCACCAGCTGATGTTACAGCTGGAATGTTAGTCGTGTGCATGATGACGCTTGTTGGTGTTTAGGATCAAAGAAAGTAAATCTTGAGTAGATGTGCAACAAACATTTTGATCTTGTCCTTTTCCAAGCTTTGGCTCCTGCAAAGCAAAGCTCTGGCCAGATGTAGTGTACTCTGTCTCCCCCTAGTGGGCTTAGAAAAACCGTCTTTTCTTCTGAGTGACAAACTTTCCAATCTTAGGGGAATAACATGGCCTACACAGATAGGAGGAAGAAAATTAACATTTTTAATTTATTAAACATTTAATGACCAAGAGCTGATCAAAAGTATTTTGCACATATTTTGCACATAATTTTCACTATCCTGCTTATCAGTGATGGAAAGGGTAGACAATCAATATTCACAACTCATTTTTAACCCTTTTATGTTAGAAACCCACAAGCCATAGAAACCCATTCTGTAGTCCACTTATGGCTTTGGGGGTTTTATGATCAATCAATCACCTAAGCAAAGCTTGAGTGTGTGAGCCACTGCCAGGGGAGGTCTGACCCACGGCCTAGCATGACATTGAAGGAGGGAGTGCTACTCACCCAGGAAATCCCATTACACCAAAGTATGATGGATATCGGTACTGGGGAAGCTCATATGTGGTCTGACATATAATTTGTTATAATTTGTAAAAAATTGTGTGACGATGCTCACCTTTCTCCCTGTCTTTCACATTTTTAGAATTCTGTCCCTTAACACACCCTGACTTGAATACCTGAAGTCTAAAATCACACATCGTGGTATATGTGCTCTCTTTGTATCTCAGATCATACAGAGTTTAGACTGTGAATGTCTATCCTAAAGTCTTACACCACAGGTATACTTCCATCCTTTTGAATCTTACAACAAACAGAGCATCTCTGATTTTTAATCGGAGCTATATTTTCAGAAGCAACAAAAAGAGCCAAAATCAACATCATTTTTTTTTTTTCAAGCAGGTCAGTTATCTTGCTTTTAAAAGTAGCAAGTATACATCAAGCATACATGAAGTATACATCAAGCTACGGTTTGCTTTTTGCGTTTTGTTTTTTTTCCCTGAGCTGTAATGGCATTTTCTGAAGCAACCGCAGTGAATGAAGAGACAACCTCGGATTTTGCACTTTTGTACAGATAACCTGAGGATTTCAGCACTGATCAATAAGACCAAATATACAATAGTCTGATTATGTGAAAAGGTGAACAAAAGAGGGATGTCTGTCTCTATCAAGCAAATAAAATACCTTCTATCAGTAGAAGGGAGACAAAAACAGCGATCCTCCGTAAATAAATGTCACTTGTGCCCCCTGCAATGTGGCACCGTCTTGTATTACTTACCTCAAAAATTAAAACAAAAGGTTAATCAGGCATGGCCCGTACTCTTCTCAACAGTCTCCCATTCTGTTTGTTTATGCTACATCACTCTTCAGTGGCATATTGATTGTCCAAGCTAAGAGAATACCTTTCCTAAAATCAATGAAAGACATCCCAGCATGTAGTCTTTGGATTTCTTTGTCTTTATTTGATCACATTTATCTTCCTAATAAAGCTAGATAAATAAATAATAAAAAGAAGAAAAAGAGCAAGACATTTATATTTTTAACATCTAACTAACACTGGTCTTATCTATTTGTACTCGTCACAGTGAGCCAAGTTTGTCTCTGAACTTTCCCCTCGATATGCTTTGCAGATACAGATAAGAAAAAAAGCAAACGGACAATGACCCAATTTGAGTCAATGACAGGTTACTTGAGAGGACCGTCATGGTGCAAGCTTTTCAGCACACCACAAGAATGTTACAAGTGACATTTTAAAGAAGATTAATACCTGTAGAGTGGCTCAAGAGCACAAAGACAAAAGCTTTCAAACAATAGTGGGAACGAAAAGAATTGGAGCCACACACGGGAAACTTGTGAGGGATGAGAACTAAGCCGAATGCATGACCTGGAAGTTAAAATTGACACTGCTGGAGCTTTGCATATCTCAGAAACCCTTCACAGAGTCCAGAGACCATGAAGCTTACTGGGACTATCCTTAAACTGGAGTGCACTCATGGCAGCACAGAGACTAAACTGTTAAACAACATGATGCTGGTTCCTCTACGAGCAAATAAAACAGGTATGATGAGCTTTCACCTAAATTGCTCTTGATTACAAGTAACGATCTTCAGAGTGTTGTCCACTGTCACACCAAAAGATACTGAAACTGCATAACTGAATATTAAAAAGAGATCTGCTTTGAAAATGCATCACTTTGGGAATCTAGTTTTTGTTTTAGTTTTTTATTAATTAGTCCAGCTAACCTTATTTTAATACGTGAAATTATGTCCAAGTGTGAAATGCCACAGTTTCACAGGGTCCAAGGTCCAAGTCCATAGTCCATATCGGGCATTGTTGCATAAAAATGTTTATGTATAAGGCATAAATTATCAAAATAGTTGCAGATTACTTTTTCCATAGGTCTACATCAGTTTACATTCTGATCTAATGTCATTCTAATTAGGACTCTGTTGAGCTGAATCAGCCCCTTTCCTTGCCAATTTAAATGAAGAAGCTTCACTACTAGGCTGCTCTTTAAATCCAGATAACTGCGAGGCAAATGTATTCTAATCTCTTAATTCAATCTAGCTGATCTTTGGCCACAGAAAGCATTTCCTTGTTAAATTGAAAATCCCTAGCTGCTTCATCTGCCTAAACTAAGTGTGCAATTTACAGACATTATAGCTAGGGGGATGTAAAATATGTGCATTAGTGCAGGAATATTACACCAAGATGGCATATTTGATGGTCAGTGCTTTTAAAGCGAGACAGTCCTGCAACAATAGGGGTAAGATGCAGTTTAGAGCAACACGGTGGGAGGCTGAGTGGCCCAGTGTAAAATTAGCCAGAGGAGTAGTGGACTTTGGTTCTTAACTGGCTTCTAAACTGCTTTAATTAAATGGGGAATTACCTTTTACTCATGGGTACAGTGTTCCTTAGGGGTCCATGCCATTCATATACAGCTGATATCATTACCTATAACCCTGCTTTTATTATCCTCACACTGTTCCAGCTATGAAGCAGTGCGAAGATGATTCTGAGGGGTTCAAAAGTGCATAATCAGCACCTTTCTGCAAATTCATCTCTGTGTACAAAGGTATTATTTTCACGGAGGTGAAATATGATTCATTACGTGTTTCTGTTAATGGGTTAGATGGAAGTGTAACATAATTAGAAAGCAGAGTACAGTTACAACTTAAATAGATGGTAATCAGAAGCTACAATCCTAAAATGAATCAAGGATGAGCTGATCGGAGTTGGTCAAAATAGTCTACGTGACCTCATAAAATACTTTTTGGCAGAATTCAAGACTTGGTTAGCTAATTGTGACAAAAATATCACATACATGTCTAATATGAAAAGATAATGAAATGGTGATATTTGTAACATAAGATGATAGCCAGAAACGCACAACCACACTAATGCTTGTTTTCCAGACTGCTTCTTGTTTATTACACACTTACTCACCTTACACCAGCCAGTTGGATGGTGACTGTTTTATCACATGTAGCCTGCCCTCAGTCACAATTTGAGTTAAAACGCAAATGGAAACAGAAGCTCAGAGACAGGAAAAGCCTCTCCAACTTATAACAATGCTTCTCAAAAAATGCCTTAAAGGTACATTCTGCAATCCTGACTCTTGCACAATTTATCTCCAAGAGGTCAAAGGTAAGGTCTGGACAGACATGGAGGTGAAATGCAACATAACAGTGTGGTAGACACAAGGTGGTTTTCAGTGTAGTTTTCACTCTAATGTAATGGGGGGGAAGAAAGGTCAAGGCAAAATTGTGTTTTCTTTCTTTCCAAGTAAAACATCTCTATCGGTAACTCACTTGATCGGTGTTTAGTTTAGGTAACATCATTTTTTGAATATAGCTTTCATTCACAGATTTACATGCAACAATAATGTAATGCAGTAATAAGTGGTTTAACATGCTTTAAGCTGGAACATTTAGATTCAGGTGAAAACATTTTAGTTGTAACCCACCACTGAAAACAAGATCATAACAGATCCTCTGTATCACATCACAAGTTTGTTCCTATCAAAGTGGAGGTTCTTTGGAGGATGGCCATCTTTCTGTTTGTGTTGTTTAGAAGCAGCTCAGAGATATTTACTTATTCGTTTGTGACCAGCTAAAAAGGTTCATAGAGAATCCCACTTTCTTACAGTGGATGGCTAGTCAAACCTTTCCTCCCAGGTATATTATCTGAAAATATTTTGCTGTCCCATAGGTTCAGTAGTGTCAGCATCCTCCTCATCCCTGTCAGGGGCCGATGGCGCGAAGACTCAATGCTTCATATGTGCAGACAGAGCCACAGGTAAACATTACGGTGCACCCAGTTGCGATGGCTGCAAGGGCTTCTTCAGGAGGAGCATTCGCAACAACCACACTTACAGCTGTAGGTGAGTACTATCATAGGGCCAGCTGATTGCTGTACAAAGCATAACAATTTTTCTATACCTAAAACAAATCACCAAAATATTAAAATGAAGTCTTTGGTTCAATGGTTTAACATACTTTGAGCTATAACATTTATATTCAGAAAGTACATAACTAGCAAATTCAAAAAACATGAATAATGGAGCCTTACTTGACCTCTGCTGCTCACTTTAAACCTGCAGATTAACCATTCAGTGCAACGTTAGCGGCGTAAATTCTCTGAAACAGTTCAAGACTGAACTGTTTGTGCTTGAGATGAAGTTCTTATGCAATACAACGCATTCGTTTCAGGTTCGACAGGCAATGCATTGTGGACAAAGACAAGAGGAACCAGTGCCGCTATTGCAGACTACGAAAGTGTTTCAAGGCCGGAATGAGAAAGGAAGGTTAGAGTTAAGATTTTCTTTTTTGTGTAATAAAACTTTCTTTTAGTCTTTAATTTGAAAAAAAATGCACTTAGCTATAACAACCTACCTAAAAAGGTTCAGCTGTACCTTATTGAGAATATCCAGGACCTCACATTTTGCTCTGTACTTTTACATTTAAACCTGTCTACTTCAGTGAAAAATAAAACAATCAATATCACTTCATCAAAAAAAGCGGAGAAAAAATCTTTCTTGAGAAACAGTGAACGTGTCAGTGTCAATTTCCAGGTGTGTTTACGTGGACCATGTCTATCGTTGGCTTTATCTTTTATCGACTCCTACTGAGAAGCAAGGAGAAAGCGATGCAATCAAAGGAGCCTCGTTTCACATGAATAATTAACACAGCTGAGCACGGCCAAATATTTGCTCTCCATTTTTCTGGACAGCAGTTGCTCACAACCCTTTGAAGTCACGGCCAGCGGTGTGCTTTTAAACATGTATTTCATTAATTTGCCTGATTTGCATAACATGTTCTAATAACACTTTCAAGTACAGCTGTTGTGGGAACGGATGAGTAAAAATATTGAACAAGTCTCCAGTATCGTGTTATTTTGTACTCGACCTCCAAGTAAGCCGTGTAACTGTTTACTCCAAAACTAAACTTAATTTATGTTCCACAGAAGGCTCATTTGTGACATTGTCATGCAGCACCATGTCAGTGAAGTACAGAGGGACCCTGCTGGTGCTGCTGCTGCTCCTTTTCCTCCTTTAGTTTGATTAATGTGCTCCAGATTGGTTGCTGAGAGGACACCTCTGATGACTGATTACTCTGACACTTGGTTGTGTTGTCTGACTTTGTAGAGCCATTTTAGAATTAGTCTGAGGCCATCCAGATTGCCGTGTTTCTAATGACACTTGCGGATGGGTCAACAACATGTGATGACATCTTCCCTTCAAAATATAATCTTAATCAGCGAGCGCCCAAGCCTCCACATCAACTGTTACTGTCAGTAGCAAATCGTTAGCTTCATAGCATAAGTGCCTAAGTCATTTTTTGGTCAAATTGAGATTTTTGCCTAACTTTACTCCCCTACCACTGCTGCATCATCCTGTCCGTCTGCCTATGTCATCACAAAAAAATGACTTAGGCACTTATGCTATGAAGCTAACGAAATGTAAGAAGCTGTCAAAAACAAAATGTCACATTAAAGCACATCAAACCGAAGAAAGTCTACACGGCTGGATTAAAATATTAACGTCACCAGGTTTACATTTAGATGTACTACATACTTCTTATTGGTTCCCCATACTTCCTCTTCTGCAACTTTATACTTACCAGTGATAAACCTTGAGTAGGATGTTGCCAGCATTATATGAAACATAATTGTGCACCCATTCATATCACATTTCATCATCCTCTCAGTTATTTCATATTAAGGAATGTAACATTTACTCACTCGATACTCCTTTAAATCCTGGAATAGAGACACTTAAATATGCAAACAGAAGGAAACTTAAAGAGGCTCCCGGAGAATTTTATTTTTATCCAATTTGTGCCACATTTCCCGAGTATGCAGCATTTGGCGTGGCTAATATAGCCACAAACAGCAGCTTCAGTGTCACGGGGGATAGAGGGACTCTGTGGAGATGAAGAGTAGGGCATTTCTTTCGGGATGTATTTGCTGAGGAGGCGAGTAAAAAAAACAGTCAAGTGCAGGACTAATGTGCGGAGATGCCAAGAAGCTTGCCTGATGGTTCTTTCCTCTCTTTAATGTCCAGCTGTTCAGAATGAGAGAGACTGCATCAACAGCCAGAGAGCCAAGGAGCAGACAGTGGGCACTTTGTCCATCAGTGTGCTGCTGCAGGCAGAGACCACTGTTCAGCAGGTAACACACTACTGGTCTTAGATGTTATGTTCTTTGGCAGAAATTAATCCTTTTTTAATGTGTATACCACTTTTTTAAAAATCATTTTAGAAATGATTTAAATAAAGCTAAGAGATGAAAAATTCTAAGGTTACATGATTTTAATGAATTCATTTTGGTTCGCAGTAAGCCAAAAAGTTAACTGAATTTAACAGAAAAGGAAAACAGTTTTGATCCTTAAGTATTAAAGATTAATCTGAAGTCAAATAAATGCAAGACCGCAAAAAGATGTTAGAGCACACAGCTACTGAACAAAGTGATTCTTCTTAACTGCCCTGCACTTATGAGCCGTCTTTTAACCTTACAGCAGTTACAGAAAGCATTTATTTGAAGGACCGTTTGGGTGCATCTCATGATTAGAGGGCAGCCACTAACACTTGAGCCACAGGCGGCCCACTCATGTGCATTTGCATGATATTTGAGCCGATGTGCTGTTTTTAAAACAGCAGTTATCTAAATTCATTTTTTTTTAAGTCTGTTATAATTGTTACACTTTAAATGGAGACTAATATCCAAATTGGATGAAGTGTGCAAAAAAGGGTGTAGTCTATAACACTTCTTATACCTGTAATTTGTTAAGTGCTATGTAACAAACTGTGTTGACACAATGACTAATATGAAGAAGTAATGTGATGTTACAAAGCATAAGAGTTGGTGTGCTTTAGCATTTGTTATCAGGCAGTCTTCAAGCAAGTTTTAAGTAGCACAATGTCACGTCAGACAGTGTCTCTTGGAGTGATTTCTCTTGTTGTACATGTAAGAAAATAGGACTTGGCATTGTCTGCTTTTACATAGTATAATAAGAAACTCAGTAGGACACCATGTAAGACTGCAAGTGTTTGTTATCAGGGTTTACTGCAGCATAGAGAGACGGTTGGTACACTAATTACAGCAATGCAGGAATTCTGAAATGGATTGTTATGTGGTCCAACTGATCCATTTAAAAAAAAAGAATGTTTGTGGTTTATCTCCTTAATCGCGCACATACACTAAGGTTTACGTCCATGGTACCTGTTTACTGTAAATTCAGATTATACTTTGTTTCTTTCAGTTCCCAGCACTTCTCTCTCCTAGGAGCCATGACATCACCACCAAGAAGACAGCAGGTGTGGGAGAGGTGTTCGAGTCCATGAAGCAGCAACTCCTCCTGCTGGTGGAATGGGCTAAACACATCCCAGAGTTTTGTAGCCTTCCAATAGATGACAGGGTACAAAGAGGAATGAACCTTTTATACTAAACAGCTAAGATATATCTGTCCATGCCAAGTTTGACTCTTTATATTATGTGAAACCCGTGTATGTGTGCTTGCAGGTAACCCTTCTACGAACCCACTCTGCAGAACATCTTATCTTAGGGGTAGCAAGACGCTCACTGCCTTACAATAATGTCATTCTTCTTGGTAGGACAGATGTGTTCTCTGTAGTATTTTGTGCATTGTAGCCTGAACTTCACACTTAAACTTCTTGGACGTGAATGACTATCTTTTTCTTAATTGACTAGGTAATGACTTTGTGATTCCACCGAGAGGTGCAGAAGTAGAGATATCCAGAGTGGCATTCAGAATTCAAGAGGAGCTGGTCAAACCTCTCAGAGAGCTGGTCATCACAGACAAAGAGTTTGCTTGCCTCCGGACGATTGTCTTCTTTGCCCCAGGTTAGTTCAGTCAGCATGTGAGAAGGTGAATGAGGTTGATTTCTGTTTGCCCTTTTCTATTGCACTGAAAAAAGGCTGATTTTTTTATGTTCTCTCTTGGTTTATTGTTCTTGCCAATTTCAGCTATAGTTTAGTCTGAGTGGTCTGAGTTCAGTACGTTTCAGAGAGATTTTCTAATATCAGGATGTGGTGGCATTCTTGGCAGTCAGGCAGAGAGGCTGCCTGCTTAACTTCATTCCCCATTTACCTGTTGTGGTAGGGATAGACCGGAGGTCCAAACGGTCTGAACTGGCAAACATATTCATCTCTGTCCAAGACAGAGATGAATATAATCAGTCATATTCTAGGTTTGATTTCAATTTTATCCACATATAGTTCATTCAACCCTATTTTTTCAGTTGCACTTGAAACACTCCCATCACGCCTTTCCCCTAATTATACAAAATTAGCCTTGTATAAGTAATCACACCTGTCAAATAGATAACATTCAACTGGAGAAAAAGTTTGTGAATTTGCTATATTTCTGGATAATTATTACCGTAAAACGTCAACAGACTTTCACACTAGTCCAACTAGCTTCAACTTCTATTGGGTTTCAGCACTTGAACACCATCCTGACGTTTGTTGTCTTTCTGCACCACCTACTGTGCATGTAGATTCAGTCCACAGATAGATATCTTCTGTAAAATAGTGATTGCATAACTCAGAATTCATTGCTGCATAAATTCAGGAGTGCTGTGCTGGCCCAGACACTGAAAGGCAGGCCTAATCAACAATGTCTGTTTTTTCATGCTTCAAACAGAATAGTTCTTATTTAGACTAAAAAAATCATATTTCACATAATCTATCTACAAAACATTGTTCTAACAGGATTCTGGTTTGTCTTCATGATGATCAGTTGGTCAGTTCTTATTCAGTGCATTTCATTCTGTGAGGATTGTTGATATTATTTTTATCATTGTCTTATTGTTTCTTTTCTTCTTTCATTTACACTTTAAACTTATGGTTACCCATGCTTAGATTAAATTTGACCAAAGTGCATTTATTTAAGTGGTTCCCTTATACAATATTATATTTACATAAGACTTTCTTACCTTATGTAATGCAGACTGTTCGGGACTGAAGAGTCCTCAGGTGGTTCGACATCTCCGTTTCCAGGCCCATCTTCTCTTAGAAGAAGCAACATGTGAGCAGCGAGGAAGGTTTGGGGAACTCCTGCTGATCCTGCCTCCCCTGCAGAGTGTGGCCTGGCAGATGGTTGAGACTCTTCACTTAGCACAGCTGCTTGGCGAGGCCAAAATGGACAGCCTGCTGCAGGAAATGTTACTAGGGGAGGGAACTGAAACGGGACAAGGAGTCTGTACAGGTACAACAATCTGCTGCTGTGTTTAGTTAAAGGAAATGTAAAAGAAGTCTAAAGTGAGCTTCAACTGACATCAAACTTGAAGCCGAGTCATTTCCAATACGCAGCAGTATATATTTACACTAACTTTGCAATTTTGTATTTTCAGTGTTTATTTTCTGTCACTCTTACTGTGTGCTTCAGTTTGTCCTGTGCCTGCAGGAAATGACCCAACTCAAGACCAGCAGAATGACCTGAATGCTTCACCTGCAACCTTCCCATCTGTGATCTGTCATGCTTCAATGGGTGAGTATTGACTGATCAAACCATCACTGCTAATGTAACAGCTTATTTGAGAAACTTTGATTTGGAAGCTATAGCTTTTTAGTAACGACGTAGCAGATCTTCCTACTTTTAGCGGTTTTACGACATCAGAAAAAGAAGCGTATTTACATCAGCATTTAATGGGTAACACCTGAAGCTGAAACGGAAAATAACTGATATGCACTGAATCCTCGTGTGCCATTAAATTTTTGTATCTCACACAGCTCCTACAAGTGGCTTCCTTGCTGCCCACATAGACTGGCACTGAGGTGTACAGACATGGAAAGTCTGCCAGCGTGCCCACAACATACCGAAGGCACCTGTCCACACCAAGAAACCCCTTGAAAAACAACTTAACTGAAGAAACTGGGAAATCTTACAAGTTCGAACCAGCAAACATACTAATACTCACACTCAGCTGCATACATACATAAGCTACACACATGCAATTATGAATGACTACTGAGAAAATAATGTTATTGTTATCTGAGAAACAACAAAAAATATAAAGTTTATATTTTATACAGGAACTCGTGAAAAATTGGAATAATGACATGCAACACTTTGTAATGATGAGTGCAAAAGAAAGCTAAGGCACACACTACAGTAAGTATGGTTAACTAATTGCTAACAAATTATAGCATAATACGTAGAAAGCTGAAATGCAAAATCCATCATCTGTCAGCAGAGGGCACAAAAAGCCAGTGCTTGAACATATTAGTTGGAGCTGTGGGGCTATTGTTTTATCCCAAATGAAAGCCTTGACTAATGGTGTCAACAATTTGCTGCGGAAATAATTAAAGGAGTGTAATCCCCACTGTCAAATCACTGCAAGGAGCGCAAACGTAACAGAATATTGCCTAAAGGAAAAAAAGAATATTTTAAATAAGAACAGTTATCACCATCAACCAGATACCTGTTGTACCTGTTCCTGAAAGAATTCACTTAGATGAGCAGTGAAGGTTGTTATTAGAAAGGTTTGATGTGATGAGTAATGAGGGCTCAACAGCACTGAAGCTTAGAGGCTCAGCAGTAAAACTCAGTGGCAAAATTATGGTCTGCAACCCGTTTCTTCTTTCTTGCTACCCTCATTGTTTTGTTACCTTCATCCCCACAAAGAAATCCATCCTCTCCTCTACCATGGAGGCATGGACAGCAATACTCACAGCAGTATGTATAATCTAAACATAGTATTGACTGTTAGGTCCATTGTCCTGAATATCTACCACATGTGCTTTCCTATAAAACTAAATACTTAGATGTTGTCTTTTAAGACAACATCAGGTCGGTGACATATTAGCCTATTCTTAACTAGTGGAAGAATCATCAGTTTTGGAAGAAGTATATAAAACAATATGTAACTTTAATGTGGTTTGGTGTAATTCGAGAAAAAGAATTGCTTCTTCAGCAAAGACCCTGGAAATTTTCTGGAAGTTTCTATTTCCTTTACAGCAAATGAAGAACAGTGTTTGGCACAGAAAGTATGCCCCAACCACATGTTTGACGCAGAAGAAAAAGAATAAATACACTAAAAGAACTGTAAATTTACGATTTAAAAAAAAGTCCTTTTTCTAACTTTTCTAACTTAAATAAATACATTTTCCTGCTTGTTTATTTTAATGGTAGAGCACAGAAAATTAAAGGAAAGTTAAAGAAAGGGTTTTTTTGTGGGGGAAAAAAAACGTTCTGTCTAAAGAAAGACCTTTTTTGATGGCTGAATCAATAGATAGTGTAGTTGACTCTTTCTCTATTGCCCTGGAAAAAAACAACAAACAAAATGATTGTCCAGCAACTTTCCACAAACTTTTCCTGAAGTTAAAAAAAAAGAATAAATGTAAACAACATGAAGTGATTACAAAATCTGAGGTTTCAAATTTATCTGTGTTGACCTACATTCACCAATCAGCACGTGTGGGAGAATTGAGTAACAGTTTTATCATGTATGGGAGGATATTTGGAAACAAAAAGACGAGTGTAAAAATCTCCAAATGGGCATTTTTTCTGAAAAGCTTTCTGTGCAGTAACACAACTCTTAACTCAGACTCAGGTACTTTTAATAATATACGGTGCCAGCAGGACTGCTTCACTCAATATAGTCTAAATAAACTTGAGTTTCCCAAACAGACTCTGTCACAGCGTTCATCTTTGAAGGGTTCAGGTTAGGGACTGTAATTACGCAATCATATCTATTTGAACTGACAAATAATTAGAACCTGATTGTTCATTTTTCACATACTCGCCCAGCACTGACTCTCACAGCCAATCAAACAGTTAATTAGGCTTTTAAACGGGAACACAAGATAGCTGCCAAATTGGGGTCCTTGTCATACTCGGGTTTCATTGTCACTGTAAAAAGGTAAGCAGTGACACTGCTGTGATGTCTTTTTACTTCCCAAGGGCCTGCTGTGAGGCAGTCTATTGATCTGTCAAGCTCAGCAGAGAGCGAAGTGATGCTGAAGTGTTAAAAGCTGAATACTTGCTCTCAGTTGTCAGTGTCATCCCTTACATTCACAGTGGAGGGAGTCCAGAGGCAGGGCTTTTTTTTTTGTCTCTGCTAAATGTTCTTTTAAAAACAATATTTAACCTCTTTAGTTTCTACATCAAAGATCAGCTGTCTGCTTTTCATGTAGGAGAGTCACAAATTTGTTGGAGCTTCTTGGATTTCTGCTGTACAAATATTGTCCTGTGTTGAATCAAAATTCAAAATTCAAACCAAAATTTGATGACCTGTACCATTTGGAACAAAAGAATAGCACACAGAGTTAAGTAAGTTAAAGTAAGTTAAACTCGGATTTGTGAAAAGAATAAAAGAAAGACTGAGAAACTCTTGTGGTAAACCCCATAGTTTAAAGACAAACACATGATTACAGATTGTTAGTATTCTAAAAAAGTTTCAAACTCCACAGATTGATGCTAAATCTCCACCTCATGGTTGACATCCTTCGAGAAAAACAGTACTAAAGTAGCATTGATTTTCTGGAGGAACTCTGCATAATGTCCAAGTGGTATGTGCAAAAGAAGAAACCATTAAAATTTGATGTGGATACTATGCATCTTTTTAAAAATTAAAAATAAAAAACATCTGAAAATACGGCATTCATCTTATTTTAAGACATACTCATTTCGGTATTACAAGAGTTATATTTTGCTTAGTCAATGACAAGAACAGCTCATGGTGGAAAAAAAAAAAGCTGCAACTGAAAGGCTTTGTTTTACCCAATCTTGTAAAGTTGCTAAATGTTGGTCTACATAACAGTTTTGGGTTCTATAGCCAAGAGACCAAGAAAACATAAAAGAGACGAAACAGAAATAGTGGATCAGCCGCTGTATTACTTAAAACACTAAGTACATACTTATCAATTGCAGGTAGCAACACTTTTTTGATAAAGCTTATAGTTAAGACTAGATCAGTTGACCCTGAACAAACCCTTAATATTGCTGCACTAGTCTCTAAGTGCTGCAAGATTTCATGTAATATACTGTGATGCACTGCGCACTTCTCCTCCACTCACCTCCTTTCACTCCCTACATGTTTACATAGCTCTGCAGAATGTTGACTGTCTGTGCTCTTTCTTTCCTTGTGTCTTTCTTCTTTTCTCTTTTCCCCACACCCCTCAGCTGGTCATGGCAGATGGTTGCCTTGCCCTGATCCAGGTCCTACTGGAGTGTTTCCTTCTGTTAAAAGGAAGTTTTTCCTTCCCATCGTAGTAAAGTGCTTGCTCATAGAGGATAATTTAATTGTTGGGATTTTCTCCCAAACACTGTAAAGTACGTCCATTACACTAAGGGGACTGTTGGTTTGATCTGTTGACCAGTGAGTTTCAGACCTGCTGCCGCTTATACCCTGAAGATCGCTTGTGTGATTTTCCATTTAGCTCCCATACTCTCCAGCTTACTAACTTCAAACAACTAAAAAAAAATCACCTTAACTTAAATAAAACCTACACTATCGTTGCCTTACATTTCTATTTCTATCTTGTACTGAAGTGTGCCTTTGCCACTATTTCTAGTCATTTGCCATTATTATATACTACCATCATGGATAACAGATAGTCCTTTTTGCTACCAATAGTATTGCTTTTGCATCACAGGTGGGAGAATTTCTACGTATACATCCAAAAATAAACACGTCTGTTTCCCATTAAGGCAAAGCTGCATGTGTCTTTCTATCCAGACCAGTGGGTCCACCGCCCAGATGTTTTTTCTGCCCCCCTCAGGTAGGATGAACAGACAGCAGACTTCTTTGTATTATGTGTTTGAAGCTGTTCAACCTAAATATAGCTGTACAGACAGCTGCTCTTGCTTTAATTTCAATCAGGGATCCTGAAGGAACAGGTAGAACTGAATGTTCACTTAAATTATTCTGTTGTTAAAAAAAACAACAACAACCAAACAAAAAAACAAAACACTCTTGCTTTGAAGTAAAAGTGATTCCTGCTGCGTCCTTCTTGAAGGGAAAATGTTGTATTTTTTTTCATTTGTTTTGTTTTTTAACCCTTCTTTCTTGAAATTAAATCCAAACAGAACAAAGGTTCATCCATCCCTGGAATGTAGCACTTATTGTTTTCAGGCTTGTATAGATAACCGAGGAAGAAAAAAAAAGGATCTGGTCTGTTTTTAATACTCTTACAAAGTTATATAACTGTACTCTACTGCCCAGTAAACTTTAGATTATTTAACTAACGGAGACAGACAAAAATTGCAGTGTCACCATAAATCCAGAGTTTAATAGTGTGCCAGTCTTTGATTAGTTGTTTAAGTACAACTACCGGTATAAATAGAATGGATTCTTCCTAATGCTGCACAAGGTCTCTGCTTAGTGTATTTTGGAAAAGAAAAATGTCCTCAAATCCACCTTATCGATATCATTTTGAGTCACGGCTCTGTGTTGAATGTATAATTTTCACAAGGTTCTTAAAAATGATGAAGAAGGCTTACTGGTCCAAAATTCACAATAATAGAAAGGAAGGAAACACGACTGCTGACACCACAGTACAATGGATTTAAAGATTGCCCAAAAAACGTGTTTGTTCTGTAGAAGTTATGGAACACAGGCCACGGCATGCTTTCTCTGAAAGATTGATGATTTATGTAGTTTTGATAACCCGAGAAAAGGTCACTTTAAATAACCACTCACAGCAAAGGCCCAGATCCACAATCTTCTAGATTTCCCCTCCAGGCTAAAAACTTGAAAACAGCCACACAGATGGAAGTCTCATAGTCCTGAGCAACTGAGAAAATCATTCATCTACACAAAGGCGTTATACA